CGGCGCTCTGTGGTTGACGGCGCTCTGTGGCTGACGGCGCGGTCTGCCCTGCTGGCAGATGCCGAGCTAGTAGAAGCCCCTCTGGGCTGATGAGCCGAGCTGCTCTTAGCCCTTGCTGATGATGAGGTCGTAGCAGAGCCGAGCTGACCCCTCGGTCGCAGCTCGCTCCTCAGCCGACCCGCAGGTCGAACTTTCTGATGAGCCGACCCAACGGTCGAACTGAATTCGCTTGTTGGAGCGTCTCACTTTATGTCAAAATCTCTCCCCTTGGGTCCCCCCACAAGGTGGGGCTTCTTTTGTGACGGCAAAATGTAGCCCTCTTGCCAGTACTGTTTTCAGATTGTCCGAAATCGGGGTGTTACTCTGATTAATGACGATTTTATTAACGTATAGTTTTGTTATATGTGGGACTGGGTTCTTCTTCGATAGGTGGTTGAATTTAGAAATCAGGTTAGCTTTGCATTTGACTGAAAGTAAATCGGCAGAAGAAGCAGTCATGTTGTCTACGTAGTTCCAAACAGAAGGTGACATTTTTTGTGCTAACGTTAAATGAGCTTCTAGGAGAGTCCTGTCTAAAGTATCGAATTCAAAACGGAGTAGTCTCATCCTCTCTGAGATTAAAGATAGGCTGGCCTTAATATGTCACCCCGAAACATATTCCTGTAGATGATATCATCTCTCAGGTCGATGTGGCCCTTAAAGGCATAGGACACATTCAAGCAGACGTTGCGAGAACTGAGATAGCCACTATTATTAAGAATGCTAAGAAACCCATTAGCAACATCAGCAAAAATGAACGCTCTGAACTCGCGAATTTAAAAAAACAGAAGTGATTTAGTCATCCTCTCAGCCGACAAAGGCAACGCTACTGTAATTATGGATATAGATTCGTACAACAACAAAATCCAGAACCTACTCAACGATGGAAGTTACTAAAAAATTAAAAATGACCCTACTAATAGCCAAACTATAAAAACCAACAAGATCATCACAAGTTCGACCTCCCTAATCGAACCAACTAAACGTCCCTCCTGAAAACCTTCTGCTGCAAGACCCCCTAGATTCTGTAGTCTCCCCAAGATTCACAAAGAAGCCACTCCACTACGGTCCATCATATCCACGATCAACTCCCCTATCTATAAGCTAGCACGTTTTCTGTCAGACACCTTGCTACCTTTCACTGGCAAGACCTCCTCAGCAGTACTTAACTCAGCCCAATTGGTCTCTATGGTCAAAGACGTTGTACTGTCCCCTGACGATAATCCTTGTCAGCTTCGATGTGGTCTCCCTGTTCACCAAGGTCCCGGTACCTGATACCATTGAAATAATTGAAAATTTGGTACAACATGGACTAGACCCCGATAAAACCTGCGCTGGTTAGACACTGCCTCACCAATACCTACTTTACTTGGAATGGCACCTTCTACAAACAAAATGAGGGTACCCCCATGGGTTCTCCCTTATCACCAGTGATAACCAATGTTTTCATGGAGAAATTTGAATCAGACGCCATCCAGACTTCCACACTCAGACCTTCCCTGTGGAAGAGATATGTGGATGACACTTTCGTCATTTGGCCACATGGCCTCCCAGCTTTGAACCTTTTCCTACACCACATCAATTCCAGACATCCCGCCATCAAATTCACCATGGAAGTGGAGAAAGATGGCAAGCTACCATTCTCAGATGTTCTGTTTGAGAGGAGACCTGATGGCTCACTGGGGCATTCTGTCTACAGGAAACCCACTCACACAGATTCCTACTTGAAACCTGATTCCCACCACCACCCAGCTCAAAAGAATTCTCTCATCAAACGTTATACCACGGGGCACATTGCATTTCGGATCAACACCACCTGACCAGTGAATTAAAACATGTACACCTGGCCCTCAAGAGAAACGGATACTCTGACCGTACCATCCGCAAAGCTGTTACTCCCTCCATACAGAAACAACCACTTGATACTCCGGTCAAAACCATCACACTACCATATATAGCAGGCATTACTAAAAAGATCTCCAAAATTCTAAACAAACACACGATCCTGGTCCGGTTCAATACAGTACACAAAATCCGTGACCTGATCCCATCCGTGAAGGATGTCGTTCCTGACTTACAGTACCTCGGGGTTTACAAATTGAGCTGCACTTGTGGTGATTGCTATATCGGGGAGACGAAGCAACATGTCTCTGACAGAATTCGCGAGCACAAATCAGATTTGAAACACGGCAGAACGAATTCTTCTGCCGTAGCTGATCACTGTTACAACACTGTGGGTGATCACAACATAGTTTTCTCCGATACCAAGGTTCTCTGCAAACCCACGGGTTTTTATCAGAGATTTGTCCACGAGGCAATTCAGATTTACAAACACAGACACAATTTCAACCGAGAGGATGGTTTCAAATTAAGCAATCATTGGAAAGATGTTCTAAATCAAACCAAACATTAAACTCATTTTCAATGGTACAGTATATTTTTTTAAGTAGTGGTATCCCAAACTTTCACAGCTGCTTATTTCTCTCCACACCAACATTATGTAAACTCCCCCCCCCACCCCCCGCGCCTGGTCCATCATGGTCCCCCCGCGCCTGGTCCTTCATGGTCCATCATGTACCTCCTACGTACATTATGCTCATTTTTATGCTCATTCCTTTGTCAAAGCGTTTTGTTTCCTCCCACACAGCTTAAAGGACGCGACCTGGGCTTGGCTGTTTTCACTCCAACGCTGTCCTCATGACAGCACGGTCCCTTCACCTGATGAAGGCCACTTGTGTTGTAGCCGAAACGTCGTGATTTTTGTTGTTTCATTTTTTACCTACGTGACTTTACCAAATAGAACCAAAGAGTATGGATCCTTGCAGTCACGAAAGCTTCAAATCTAGAATTGTCAGAAACCTGTGGAGAGTTTAATGACAATAACAACAACAATACAATGTCATTGTCACGTAGCGCATTTCGTTGAAAGATGTGAATAAATGCTGCTGAAATTATGCACTGCCAGAAGGAAGGCCGTGGGATTTGATGGGATGCGTACAACACATTGTGTTCTTATGTGGAGCAGCAGAAGATGTGGAGAATAGGGGAATTACTCTTTGGTTCTTTCGGTAAAGTCACATAGAAAGAAAATAAATTAAATAATAGAATACGACGTTTCGATTTACAACACAAGCAGTCGTCATTAGATAGAACTACATTTGAGAGACAAAACACAAACACGGAGACACACAGACAGACACACAAGCAGAGAGAGACAACACAGAGACACACAGAGAGAGACACACAACATAGACACAGAGACCCAATGCCTCTGTGTCGTGGCCTTCAATAGAAAGAGAGGGGGGGGTGGCAGAGAGAGAGAGGTGGAGTAGAGAAATTAGCATGTCTGCGGAGGGAGCTGGTAGGAACGTTGGGTTGCTCGGTCAATGGCCAGGGTCAACGGCGGCACCACGTGGTGTATTCCGCAAATATGCCCGACTGTGAGGGCGGGCACAAGCCGGCGTGAGTAGGTTAAACGTTGAGTTTTATAAGGGCACCACGGGGTGACCAGCCCCTCCCCACCTAGTCCCACCCCTCCCACCCCCCACCAAGCCCCACCCTCCCCAGCCAGCCCCTCCCCACCCTCCCGACCCTCCGCACCCAGCCCCTCCCCACACTCTCCCACCCAGCCCCTCCCCACCCTCCCCTCCCCACCCAGCCCCTCCCTCCCCACCCAGCCCCTCCCCAACCTCCCCTCTCCACCCAGCCCCACCCCTCCCATTTTTGGATGTACGACGGACGGACGGACACAATAATCCCCTGTGGGCTGGTGTAACCAGGAGGTTCCTACCAGTATTAGCATGTCATTGAGAGAGTTGTGTGGAAATCCACCCCGCGGCGGCAGGGGGAGAGAAAGAGCGAATGGACCTATGAGTGTCTGGTCAATATTAGAGAGAGAAATAGGCAGTTTGAGAAAACAAACTGAGCAAATTTTTCCACACAACTCTCTCATTGACATGCTAATTTCTCTGCTCCAGCAGACCCACCTCTCTCTCTGCCCCCCTTCTCTCTATTGAAGGCCACGACACAGAGGCAGTGGGTCTCTGTGTGTCTCTCTGTTGTCTCTCTCTGCTTGTGTATCTGGTGACTGTGTCTCCGTGTTTGTGTTTTGTCTCTCAAATTTAGTTATACCTGATGACGACTGCTTGTATTGCAATCGAAACGTCGTATTCTATGATTTAATTTATTTTCTTTCTACGTGACTTTACCGAAAGAACCAAACAGTGAGTAGTACTCTTTGGTTCTATTCGGTAAAGTCACGTAGGTAAAAAATAAAACAACAAAAATCACGACGTTTCAGCCACAACACAAGTGGCCTTCATAAGGTGAAGGGGACCGTACTGTCACGCAGACAGCGTTGGAGTGAAGACAGTCCAGCCCAGGTCGCGTCCTTTTAAGCTGTGTGGGAGGAAACAAAACGCTTTGACAAAGGAATTAGCATAAAATGACTATAAAGCACAAGAGGACCGGCACGGAGGGGGGGAGGGGGTGTGAAGTAGAACATAGAGGACCGGCACGGGGGGGGGGAGTTTACAAATGTAGGTGTGAAGTGAAATAAGCTTCTATGAAAGTTTGGTATCTCACTACTTGGATAAATATACTGTACCATTGAAAATTAGTTTAATGTTTGGTATGATTTAGATTATCTTTCCAATGGTTGCTTAATTTGAAACCATCTTCTCAGTTGAAATTGTGTCTGTGTTTGTAAATCTGAATTTCCTCGTGGATAAATCTCTGATGAAAACCCGTGGGTTTACAAAGGACCTTGGTATCGAGTAGTAGTAATTCCTTCTGTCACGAAAGCTTCAAATCGCACAGGGAATCGGGAATCGATCGTAGAGCGAGAATCGAATACGAAGGTAATATTACGAATCGATTCTTATGAGAGCGTATGTTCGTGTTAGAATCTATTAGGGATGTCACTACACGGATCGATTTCGCAACGTCACTTGCCAGGGGTGTGACGCGTAACATCGTGCGGACTCTACCAACACTGATCTCGTGCGGTAGTGGGGGTGGGCGATATTTAATAACAACTCAAACTCCTTTAACCCGGATTTTTACAAAATTGCATCAAGTAATTCCGCATATTGCTAAATAAAATATTACCTATATAAATTACTTCAGACGTGGGATTATAAAACTGCGCTGTTGGTAATAGGAATAGCGAGTGTGAGTCCCCGCCGGGATTGGTTTGGTCTCATTGTGGTGTAAAGCCGCCGCCATTTCGAGCAGAGGAGACCAGCGGACGAACTCGCGGCCCTCAGAGGCAAGAGGCTCTGGAAGAAGAGACACGGGGAGCTACGAGACGACGGGGGAGACACCGAGACAATGGCAGACACGGTAACGATGGCAGACACGGTGAGACGAGCGAGAGGCTATCTCCTTCGTTTGTGGTGACGCGGGGCCGTGACCGCGCGCGCCTCGGCGCCGCTTCTGCCGCGCGGCCTTGACTTCTTTGCCTTGCGCCGCCGCTCGCTGTTGTTGTTCGTGCTGTGTGAAAATTTTGCCGCACTTTTTTGCGTGCAACAAACATTGTCGCGAGCGTTGGGGCAACTTAGGTAAGGCGCGGCCTTTGATGTTCTCGTCGTCATCCAGCAGCGGATGGGTCGTGGCAGCTGCTGATAAGTGATTATCGGGCAAGCTCATTATACAAGTGCCATATTTAAAAAAAATCGTGCGGATGGTTCCGATGTTTGACCATACTTCACGCTGGTTATAGCGTGGTGGTGGTGGGTGGTGAAACGGGTTCAGATGTGTCTGCCCTTTCGTTCGTCGTCGCTTACGTGGGCCGGGCTTATTTCACCGCTCCACCGCCTTCATAGTAATTAGCATGGCGACAGGAGAAGTCCACGTAATGCGGCCATATCCCTATTAGCTACGGGTTTCCGCGATGTTTTTACTTAAGGAAATGTGCCGAGATAAAAACCAGGTACATTGGGCGACACTTGCTACGGAGACAACAGACAGCACTATCGAAGTTTCTTGAATTGAGTAAGGATATGTGAAGAGCTTGAGGGAGGAGAGGGGGAGAGACGGTGGAAGGGAATTCCACAATGGAAGTGTTGAGGAAAGAGGCAGAAAAAATTAGTGTTGTGACCTGCAGCGTGTTTTGGGTGGGTGAGAGCGATGGTGACGTGCAGTGAGGGTGGTAGGTGGTTGCACGTAATGGGGATGAGCTGATAACAAATCCTCAACACGGGAGGAGAGCATGAATCGACGAGTGAAGTTCACGGTGAAAGTGACCATAGTAGCAATGGAAGAGTACAATAATGTAGGTGGCTGACCACCAGTTGAGTGAGTAACTGGAGTTATTTGGTGAGTGCTGGATTAATTACACTAACAAAAATGTTCCTGGGTAGTAAGTGTTATTTCATAATTGCTTATGCTTCAAAAGTACAGAAAATGGCTTATTTTTTGACTTAAAGCTTTCGTGACTGCAGGAATTCATATTCTTTGGGTCTTTTGGTAAGGTCACGTAGATAGAAATAAAAATATTGCGACGTTTCGATCGCAATGCAAGCAATCGTCATCAGGTGGAAGAAAGAGGAGGGAAGCTGCTGATGTAGGCTGATTTTAAAGGTTAGAAATGGGCGTAGACCCAGAGTCACAAAGGACGTGGGCGGGGCTAGTGATGTTAAAGTGATAAATTTGCATGTAAATGTCAATGTGACGACGCGCTGCGAGCTTACATTGACCTGCTAATCACATTACACAGTACATTTACATGCAAATTTCTCACTTTAACATCACTAGCCCCGTCCACTTCGTTTATGACTCTGGGGCTACGCCCATTTCTAACCTTTAAAAGCAGCCTGCATCAGCAGCTTCCCTCTTCCGCCTGATGACGATTGCTTGCGTTGCGATCAAAACGTGATATTTTTATTTCTATCTACGTGACTTTACCGAAAGGCCCAAAGAAAATGGCTATTATTCCCCACGAACTTAGCTTTTGTGATCAGGACAGTGATATTTAGAAATTTACCTATTTTCAATGAGAAAACGTGGTGTGCATTTGTGTCTTTTGCTCACAAAGTCCTGGTCACAAAAGCAAACGTTCGTGGGGAATAATTGCCATTTTATATACTTTTTAGGCATAAGCAATTAAACAATAACACTTAGTACCCAAGAACAAAAATAGTGTTACATAGTGTTATCAACCCCTCCACCCTCGACTACTGGTTTAGGAACTTGGTGCTCCAGCCCAGATTTCCAGATTTGTATGACAGCAGCAGGATTCCAGCTTCGGCCTCATTTGTGTTTTGTTTAGCCGCAGTAGTAATGTTCATTGTGGCAGAACCCTACTGAAAGGCTTGAGATTCAACATTGCTTCCCTAGGTAAATGGTATCCGTAAAACATCCCATAACTCAAACATTAACGTCGGTGTTGTAAACAACATAGCAGCCATTTTACTTAACGACGTTAACGCCATTACGAACATCGTATTGAATGTAAATCTTCACATTTGTACACGTCACATTTATCAACGTAAACAACGTCTCCGTTACAACTCGCAGTTATCAGCGCGGCAACATCACACTCGTTATCATCAGCTCCCGTCATCAATCGCCAAACTGTAGGTCATGCTCACGCCCACTCACAAATTCACTGGCCCACTTGCACCCATTCACTCACTCGCCCGCTCACCCACCCACGAGTTCACCCACCGACTCGCCCACCACACCGAAGGTCACAGTACTGCTCTTCCTGCATGTCTGCACTGCTCCACTTTGGAAATCCCTGCCATTGTCTCTATAAAAGCCCTGACAAGGACTTTGCTCAATTCAAGCAAGGTGTTACACTTCGCTATTACAATTTATTTCTGATTGCCGGAATTTTTTGGCCTTGTTCCGCAGTCGTGCTGTGATGGTTACGATGTATAGAATTTTGTGTACTGGTCAAACCATTGCCTTGTTCAATTTTTTTTAAATATATACTACAGAAATGTCTTCAACGTGACACCCCCCCCCCCCCCCCCCCCCATATGTGTTATGATGATTTTCAATTTTGGCTAAGGTTGCATAATGTGCAGAACTACATGATGCTGCCAAGTCGCATAGGGGTTGCGGTTATCAAACAAACTGTTCCTTCAGTTTAACACGTAGGCTTTCGCGACCAATATTATTCATAATAAAGGTTTTTGGGTTAGATTGGTGCTCGTTACTGAACGTGTATGAATGCATCGTGATGTGAATCTTTATCTACTCTCTCCCGGCCTGACGGTTCAGTCCCTGTGCCACAAGCAGTAGGGCTCCATCTATTTGTGTCACAGATGAGCAGTTTGGTTTGCCCCCATGTCAGTAATTTATTTGCTTATTGGCACACAGACATAGACATTCACAATAACAACAGCCGCCATGCACCACTGAGTGGTGGTGCTGTCACCATGGCACTCTGAGGCCTCTTGAAGTGTCGACGGCTCACTGGCAGGAGGTCACGGGACCAACCCAGGTGGCATGGATTGATTGGCTGCGATTCATGCGGCAGAAACCATTCGCCACTAAGTGGTTGTAACATTACCACGGCGTCTATGCCAGGCTAGGTGTACTTTGAGGCCATGTGGAGTGTGCAAGGCTCTTGATGCTGCCAAGCCACAGTATAGACCCAGATGTTTATAGGTTGACTGAGGTGACTGGCAGATGCACCATCTGTGCTCCCCACTGTGCGAACTTTCTGCGTTTAGTCGCCCAGCGCTCTGTTCGTTGTAAGCGTCACTTCTTCGCCCTCCGCTGTTGTTGGAAGGCGACCGTCTCCAACTGCTCAGTGGTATTCCGCACAAGCCTCCTCTATGGAGGCCGATCCAGGCACCTCTGGTACCAGTCATTGGCAAGTCCACTCAGCTCCACATCCTCCTGTACCACATAGGTCCATCTATCTATTCTCTGGCCTATACTGCATCCGTTTAGCCCCCTCTATCTGACTAAACAAGCAGCTTAGGCATGGGGGCTGCATGACCCAGCCAATCGCAGACACAATCACCTACATATACGTCCACAGACGTACAAAGACAGAAACGGACACACCTCTTGTTTCGAAGGAGGCCTCTTGGTGAGTGTGCCAGCAGTGCAATCATCCATCTATTTCTGTCACAGATGGCCTGCTGACATTGCGCCCATGTTGGTCTTGTTTATGAAGATGGCTTCAGCGCCCCCACCATATCTACCACAGATCGTTGCTCTTGCTGGTAACCCATTGCTCCTGCTGGTAGTGTATGTGAATAATCTGCGTTATTTTTGAGGAGAGAAACCCTAGGATGAACGTGTAATTGACCGTGTGCGGTGAACGGGGGGGTTTCCAGATGCCGTGCCCGAAGCAACAGCGGCGGCGGCACCATCGCTCATCCGAACGAGACAGCTGCCGCTTTGAGGTTTCCAGCCCCTCTCGGAGAAACCGGCGCCGGCTCGATGTGGATGAGCGATTGGTGCGTGCTCGCCACCGGGACAGCTACCAGACCCGCTCACGCCTCTCATACAGGTGAACCCCGGCTGCCTCCTGCGCATTGCTAACCCCAAGAGGCTCACTCTCTGGAATGTGCTGCTGGTGTCAACCCATTTAAATCTTTAATTGAAACTCGGGCGACATTTGCAACTGCTTATTCTCGTTTCTTACGTTTGCTATCAAAGTCTATATCCAAGCCAATTAACTACTTATTCATCACAATTTAATTATCTTGGCTCGGCCTTCTCACTCCACAGTTTGTTTGTTGTGAGAAACAGTTCTCGACAAGGGGCAGCTGTCTGCTGGGCAGCTCCACGGTAGTCGCACGCAGTAGGAATGGCACACAAATCGACACGGTGCTAAGACGCCCAGAGCCACACTCTGACCTGTTGAGCCTGGGCTCGTATGGTGTGGATAGCTTTTTGTCTGGTGCCCAATGTGAACGTGTGGCAGACGGGCAGTGGAGGTGTAATGCAGTTCGATCTTAATCCCAGGCATTCTGCCACCACTCGGTAGGGAACTGACTGAACGAGCTCCTACGATGAGCAGCAGCCGAGGAGATGATTCCACAGATATAAGCCAGGTGAACCGTGAGCTGTTGTCACAAAGGTGCAGCCTCAACTTCGGCCTTGTTCACACTGGCGGCGCCGTGGCAATCGCAAGTGTTTATGCCGATTGGTGGGATTGGCACTGCATGGGTATCTGCAGCTGTTACAGTTTAGAGTACGTGCTGTATGAACTGCGGTGTGTACTACGTAGCCAATGGCTGATAAGGTGTAGCAACGGCAAGAGTTGAGTAAACATTACGGCGACCCCCAGCGAACCACATCTCATTGGTATTGGCACGGAACAGGGAGGTAGAGAGGGTGGCATTGAGAGAGAGGGTGGGGCAGAGAGATTTGGAAGAGAGGGGGGCAGGGGGGGGATATTGAGTGAAGAGGCTATATAGGGAGGCAGATATATTTTCAAATGGTGTTCTTCAGAGCAGCAGCAGTGTTATATTTCACCATCTGATGCCGTTGTTTTGCCATTGGTCTCCACAGCTCGGAGCGGTTGTGTCGCGCGTACGACGCGCCGGAACCCAGGAGGCGGAGGGAGGAGCGAGCCGCCGCTGCCGGCGCTTTCTGCTGCGAGCGGAGCAAGCGACCCTGCTGCAGCCGATGCTCGCGTTCACGCTGGCACTCACGCTCACGCCGGCGTACCCGCTCGCGCCGGCGCTCACGTCGCTGCCACGCGAGGGAGGGCAGCTGCTCGCCCGGCAGCTACGAACGGCGTCAAAAGAAGCGGAGGCGGCGGCAGCAGCGGTCGCGGAACCGGAGTGCATCGGTGAGTACCGGGGGGAGGGGCTGTCGTGGCGGCTGTGGTGGCGGCTGTGGTGGCGGCGCTGTTGGTGTTTGTTTGCCTGCCCACGCCGCGTAGTGCTAACGGCAACTGGCGTGCCATGTGAGATCTTGGAGAGCGGCAGGGTCGATCGTTAAATTAATTTCTGAAATGATTTGCCTTGTTTACCGTGCGTGTGTACGCATCGTGTGTATGAACTGAAAGTTTGATGTTTTTTCTGTGGTAGGGAGTTGATAGTGTGTAAAATTTACGATGAAGTTCTTGATTTTGTTTTCTGTAATGGATTAATGTGTGAGGTATTCATTTTCGTAAAAGTTTGTTTTTAACGTCTGTCATTTTTTTGTTAACTCTTAGCGGTGCTTTTAGGTGTAGCGTTACGTGCCAAAGATTAACTTGTTTACATTCATAAACCCGTTGCAGGTAAGTGTGTTATCGCTAGTGTAGATGATTGCCTATTGGTAGCCAGTGGTAGCCGATTTATTGTACTGTCCTGCATGCACTGACGGGTCGACTTGCCGCAAGTCTGTTTGAAAAAAAAGTGTAAGTTTGAACATATGACCGTGTTGTAGCCGTGCCTGTATCTTCACATGTCCCTTGCGATATCCCTATCGTTTATACATCCCATGTGCCACAAATGCATTGCCGGGCATCGACACAATGCCATTGCCGACCACCCACCACCTGCCGTCGCTGCCGTTGAAACGCGTTTTTGCGGACATCCCCGGGGCACCCTGCTCGCGTGTGCCACTTTGGCTGCCGCCCCCCTTCTGCCGCCGCGGGCGATTTGGCCGGGTCTTTACGGTGTGCCGCTTGACCGCTGGTCCGGGAAACTGGGTGGCGACCACAGAGGAGCAAGGAGAGGCATCAGCGGCGGGCCAAGATTGTTCAAGATGACTCAGACGGCCACCTAATCTATCGGATCGGCGACTGGCTGCAAGCGAGATGTACAGCTCCTTCCGTAACCATTTAGCGCTCTCTAGTGTCAATTTTTTTTTGTCAGAACCTGTCATAGCAGTATTTTTGTGTGTTTCTTCACATGTTTCCTCTCTCGCTCTTATCTGTTACTTACGAGCACCAGTTATTCAGATAACATGTTTTGATGTTACGATGCATTGCATCACAAACGCACAAGCATATAGTTTAACGTAAACCTCACACAGCAAACACCTTGTGCAGATCTGAAAGGCAATATTTACCTTTGCAGTAATTAATAATTGAAAAGTATTTTTGTTTCCGTACAGTTGTCACTGACTTTGTGTTTGTTTTCCTGTTTAGATGAAGTTATTTCCACCTTAGGGGAAGGGACCTTTGGTAAAGTTGTTCGGTGTGCCGACCACCTCGGGTAAGCACAGCGTCACACTGGTACCTCCCCTACTTGTGCGTTTTATATGCTGCATGAATTGCTTTAGTGACCATGTGGCTTGGCGGCAGAGCTAGCGGCTAGTAAACGGAAGGTCACAAGTTCACACCATAGTGGGGGTTGACTTGCTCCCCTCCCCCCTATCATTTTTCCTGAAGGGGTCCAAGTTATGAACTAAGTTTAACGACTACCACTTTGTGGGGAAGATCAACAGTGGTCTTCATGGATAGGCTTGCCCCCCCACCCACCATAAGAATGTGGAATTGCAACCGCTGCCTCCACCCATTTGAGCAGAAATAATTATTGTCTTGTTGCGAATGCAGTTTGCAGGTGACGTGTGTGTTCACGTTTCCTTTTTAATCATAAGTGCCAACTTTCTCGTTCACAGGGGCAAATCTGAGGTGGCTGTAAAAATTATAAAAAATGTGGACAAATACAGAGAAGCCGCAAAGTTAGAAATAAACGTGCTAGAAAAAATCAACGAGAAACATTGCGATGGCAAACAGTGAGTACAACAGCGTCCATCTCGTTTGCACCCCAGTCACTGGTGTCTGTCTGTGTGCGAGTGTCCCCTCCGATAGCTGAGGCATAGCAGTGTGCCCCTGCGTTGCATATGCAGGGTAAAGGAGCAACCCTGCAATTCCTTGTTCATGCCACTGCAGGCAGAGAGCCTCCTCCACTATTGGGGGCTCTGGAGAGCTCCTCTGGGAGGGTATTTTTCGGCCTACTCTTCCACGCTGGCCAGACTCTTTGGGAAGAGGTATAGAGGCATTTATTTATTTAACACATGTTCTGTTACATTTACAATTCGATACGGCTATTGCGAGGTCAGGAATTGGTGCCACTGATGTTGAGTGACAAGACACGAGTTGCTGGATGTGTCTTGACAATGGGCGGTGTAGGGACCTGCACGTACAGTGGTGGTGCCCGCTTAACAACCTCGGCAACTCTACAGCTCCTCGAGCACATCTCATCTTAACTTATGCCATTGCCCCACTGCAATCTAACCAAGGGAGGGACCCCAGTGGCAGCAAGCCCCTGTGCGGCACAAGGCGCACGCAAGCGTAGAGGGAAGTCGCCCTGCTTCGCTGGGCCTGCCGAGTAGATGCCATCGCGTGTGCGCGCCATGACGCCGCTGTGTCCTTGTATGGCAGGCTGTGTGTGCAGATGTACGACTGGTTCGACTACCATGGCCACATTTGCATCGTCTTCCAGCTGCTCGGCCTTAGCACCTTCGATTTCCTCCGGGACAACCTCTACCTGCCCTTCCCTCTCCATCAAGTGCGGCACATGGCCCACCAGCTGTGCCGCGCCGTCAAATGTGAGTGCATGAAGCTCCACCTTCACTACGACTACCGTTGATTGAACATACAAATTTGTAACTCACCACATGGTTCTCTTTCACACATGGAGAGAGTGGTTCGGAGGTGCCGGAAACCACAGGCCAGAATCTGTCAACAATTTCCCAAGCTCTTTGGCCCTCGATTGAGATGTTCGATTTCTGGCTCCGGCACTTTTATGTGTGGAGTTTGTATATTCTTTAAGATGTTCTTTGTTCATGTTTTTGTTTGTTGCGGTTGCACCCGAGTCGAGAGCCGCATGGCTCACAGGGCTTTACCTAATAAATTAGACTTCAACTGTTCTCTGGTTTCCTCCCATAGATAAAACAAACACAGTGTATCTGGTATTGGCCAAAACATCCCAATGCTGAAAATGTACCAGCAAATTACTCAATTTGGGATCATGCATACCAACATCACGCCCTACTGTGCAAACTTTACAGGACCCTTCTGGCTGATGTTATATTGGAATATGGTTCCACAATGAATGCCCGAGATTATTTGGCAATAGATAAGTTAATGTGAATGCTGGTATGGGTGGAGGAACAATGAACCTGGTCGTAGCAATAAAAGAGTGCTGAGGCGACTGACCACCGGTGAGCGAGTGAATGGAGTGAATCGGCGAGGTCTGGATCATTCATCAACAAGAGCGGCGTGGATGTCATAGGCGTGGCTGTCGGTCTGATGTAGCTGAGTGGAGTGGCTGGTGGACGTGCCATCTGCTGGGGGGAGGGTGTGAACAGCGACTCGGAGACGGCGTGCGTGATGGAGCTGTTCTGCCGCGCGAATGACCCCGTGGTGATTGCGCCGTCCCCCTGTTTTGTCTCCGCATCACAGTTTTGCACGACAACAAGCTGACGCACACCGATCTGAAGCCTGAGAACATCTTGTTTGTGAATTCCGACTTTCACGTGAAGTACAACTCCTACAAGGTGCGTCCGGTCACCCGCCCATCTCCCTGCCCACCGCCCCCCAGTGATCCTGATTTCAATCAATGAATCGAAGCACCCTTTCTTGCCTATTTACTAATATAACGGTTATAATAACAAGCGTAGGTTATTTCAAGTCATGATGGATGTCTGGTTGAGTACAATACATTTACAAACACTCATGCGCCCACAGCAAATATACAAAAAAAATCAATCTACGACTTGCACATTATGTATTGGTACAGTGAAAAATATGTACACGTTCACCAAGGATAACATTTTAATTGAAAAAAATTCGGTGCTTGCAACTTGATGGTGAGAACTGGTTCTGATGGCTGCACGGGTATGCGAGCTCGCACTGCAAGTCAGCGCGTGTGCTGGTGACGCGCTGGTGGCACCAGAGGTAACACTGGTGGCACTGGTGACACTGGTGGTGCGATGGTGACGCTGTGGTATGACGGCTCCGGTGCTGTTTTTTTCACAGAGAAGGGACGAACGCACAGTGAAGGACCCGACCCTACAGGTCGTGGATTTCGGCAGCGCGACCTTCGACCATGAGTACCACAGCACGACGGTGTCGACGCGCCACTACCGCTCGCCCGAGGTCATCCTGGGTGAGTGTGCCATGCAGGAGTGGACAACTGAGTTCACCAGGGAAATCCGAGGCTCGTGCACGAGGCTCGGTCACGAGACTCGCTCCTGAAACTCTCCAGCAAGACTCAATCTTGAGATTGACGCAAGAGACACACTCATGAGATTCCCTCCGGATACTACCGAGACTCACGCCAGGCTCTGCATTGGGATGTTTGACCAATCGTTACATTGAGTTTTTTTTTGCTATGGGAAGAAACCGGAGAATCTGGAGGAAACCCATGTAAAACAGGGGTAGAAGGCACATGCCACAGAAATATACCCAGGTTAGGAATAAAACTCAAGGCTCTCCCTGTGAGGCATGAGCGTTGCTTGCACATTACTTATTTGGGAAATACATCGAAGGATTGTTCACCTGACGCTGGGGGGGGGGGGGGGGGGCGGCAACCCTTCTCGAGTGCAGCCCCAAACATCTGGAGCCACCAGACATCCGAAATGCGCCGAGCAATCTCTCAATTCCGTGTTCTGTGCGAGATACACCTCAGAATTCCCTTCCCATAATGTCCAGAATGTAAAATAAAAACCGTCTCTTTATTTTTCATTTAATTAAGTTTTATTTGCTACTTAACTTATGCTTTTCTTGGCACACGGCTGCACTTCATTTTTGTGCGTGGTTGCCATTTACTTTGCTCAGTCGGTTTTAGCCACTGAGGGCATGGGGGGTTTCTGTTCTCATTCCTGTTGCTGTATGGCCCCATATCGTTCCCGCTCCGTTGCAATGCGCACTGATGCCTACTTTATTGAGGGCAATGTTGGCACGTAAAATAAAGATCGACTGATTGAGCAACATCGTCTCTTTCTGCGAATACGTAACAACAACCTGTTAAATAATCTTGATACTCGGTACGGCTTTCCTGAGTTAACAAGCGCAGTACAGTAGACTCTGGATTATCTGTACTAATGACGAGGAGAACGATTCGCGGATAATCCAAAAATAAAAATTTTCCATGGATCTCTATGCCAAAAAACACTATTGGTATAAATTAAGAGTGAATACGAACGATCAACCAATCGATGCACATGCTCAGTGATAACACTTTTCTGCTCCCCATGTAGAATACTCCTCCCACTAAGTGGATAGCAGAGCCATGCCAATCAAAATTAATCAAACTGCCCGCTGTTATGAAGACTACTGTAGAGGCGATCACTTGGATTTCAGATTAACTGGAGCACATATGTTCAGGTTAAGCACGTAACTTGTAATAAACATGTCCAAGAATAACAACGTTAAACTGTTTTTAGATTGTTAATTTGGATTTCAGAGAAAAGCCATGAGTTTTGAATCCGCAAATCAGATAAACTGCACGCGGATAAGAGTCTACTGTTATAATAACAGAGACTTATTGCGCTTTGCTATTGGCTCAGGGTCTGGTTGCCATATTGTCCCCCCCCCCAACAGAGCTTGGCTGGTCGCACCCTTGCGACGTGTGGAGCCTCGGGTGCATCTTCTTCGAGTACTACACGGGCTACACACTGTTCCAGGTGAGACACCTGTGAGGTCAGACGGGCGCTGCGATCGGCAAGTGTTCATGCACAGGTCCCCAGGGGAGCGTTATTCAGCTCACGGGAATTGTGTGTGTAAAAGCGTGCGTGCTGTTTGAGTAACACTTGCTGATCCACAGGGCCAAAGGCCCAAAATGTTAAGCTGCCAGCAACAAAACAGAAAATTATAAGTTTTAACGGGTAAAGCGTGTGATGCGTTTCTTCATTTAAGCGGGGTTGTTAAAGTGTTGGGACCTGTGGTATGATGTGTGGGTGGGGGAGTGAGTAACTGCACAAGTAGGTGGTTGAGTGAGAATGGATTGGTGAACAAGTAGTTGGGTGAGTGAGCGAGTGTGCGTGGGTGGGTTAGTGAGTGAGAAGATGGATGAGTTCTTGTGACCATACTCTTTGGTTTTTTCGGTAAAGTCACGTAAGTAAAATAAAATTTAAAATAAAAGAAAACTAAATTAAATCACGAACGTTTCGGAGGCAACACAAGCTTGTGTCTTCATGTGGAAGAGTCACAGCAAGATAGCTGCATCAAGTGGGCAGCTCTGAGACTTGCTCGAGGGTCTCAGAGCTTTGAGTTTTCCACCTGAAGACGGAAGCTTGTGTTGCCTCCGAAACGTCGTGATTTAATTTAGTTTTCTTTTATTTTAAATTTTATTTTACCTACATGACTTTACCGAAAAAAACAAAGAGTATGAATCCTTGCAGTCACGAAAGCTTCAAATCTAGAATTCTTGTGACCAGTTTAGTGGGTGAGTGGGTGGGTAGGTGAGTGTGTTGTCATCTGCAGTGTGGTGGGTGAGTAAGAGTGTGAGGTTCGTGAGTTGTGACTAGCAGTTTAGTGGGTGATTAGGTGGCTGAATGGGTGAGTTGTGTGAACAATGGATGAGACGGGTGGGAGTCTGGACTCGAGACAATCATCAGCGTTCACTCGCTCGCTGCTTTCCCCTTGACAGACCCACGACAATATGGAGCACTTGGCAATGATGGAGAGGATTCTGGGACGGATTCCCTCTGACATGATCAGAGCGACAAGGTGAATGCTGGCTCAAGCCCGTTTTCTTCTCCTATCTGACGGCCTCTTCCCACAAAATGAATAAGCCCCCATGGTTTCTGTTTAGTCTTGAGATGCGGCCACATTATGTAAAACACTACATTAATCCACATTTTGGATAAAAATATCTTGAAAGGCTGATCTCCGTAACGCTTTGTGTCAGTGCCGCTCTGGATGCTGATACTGCATGCCACTACCTGTATTGATTGTCACATTCTCTCTTTAAATATATCCTGCCAATTTTAAAATGTTTAATCCCATATTTAATTTCCAATGCGGCATCAAGTCCTGAGCCAAAGTATTCATTTGGGAACTCGCAGTGCAGCACAACCCCTGTGTATTATCTATATAAAATGCAAAGTTGTAAATGTGTGTCTGTTCAAAATGTTTAGCTTACTTCCCGACATGTAACAAACTTGAAATTTGCCACGTGGGTACTTTCCAGACTGTACACCATGCAAAAATTATAAAAATACACTTGTTTTTTTTAGGGAGGGGAGCTCAATAATGCATATTTTTTTGCACAGCAAGTGAGCTGTGACGTCAAATCTGTCACGTGATCCTCGCATGTGGAAGCGTAACGCATTGTAGTAGTGTAGTGGTTAGCGCGCCGCGCTACGAACCCATCGATCCGAGTTCGATTCCCGCTCATGGCCACCACCGGCGACGATTATTTGAACCGGTCCTGGGCCTCCCCTAGATCGACTCGGCCTCAAACGAGTAACTTGTGGTGTGAACATCGCCACTGGGGAGACAAAGGCGGCCGGGTGTGGTGAATCCAAGTCCCGGGCAAAGCCGGGTAGTACAGCTAGTATATTATATAATGGCTGTCGAAGGTGGATAGCATAGAGCTACCCTCTAGTAGTGGGCAGAAGTTGCCACTCACACTGCCACTGAGAGTAATGCTTGTGATTTCCGTTCTTCTGAATGTTCTGTGTAGGAAGCAGAAGTATTTCCGTCACCGGCGGCTGGACTGGGACGAGGATGGCATGGCCGGCAGGTTCCTGCGTCAAAACTGCAAGCCCCTGAAGGTACCTGCTGACTGGCCAGTCCCCTGTCTTTGTGAATGTTCTTTACATGTATACACACACACAGGAGACGAACCAGGGTAACAACAACATCAAGGAAAATTGTGTTTTGGGTAGAGCCCGCCCTCCTTTATGCTGGGGCATCTTGGCTTCACATGCGTTAAGTGACTTTCATCTCATTGCAAACGTTTGAAAGGGACACCTCCAGTGGGAGTTGTCCCTCTAGCACAAGGTGACTCGGCACATGGCCTGCAGGGGGTAATTAGTCGGCCAATATTGGGCGATGATTGATGCCCATGTGTGATCCCCATTGAGTAATTCGCGGTGTAATTTTTTGGGCATTTGGAAAATTTGGACCATGACACTGGCCCACAATGGCGGACTCTTTTTGAATGACGTCACGGGCTCTTTATCGTCCACCACTGCAGCAAAGGACGTGCGGTGTTTAACAGTTAATAATTCACTCTCTGCATCGCCGTGGATATTTAAAATCCTGTGACGTTCTAAATCGAGTTGTTCTTGCGTTCTGATGTCATGTTCCAACAATGGATTTTCACAAATTACTTGATTGGAAAATCCAATCGCAGCATTGCCCCTTACTGACAGACGCATTCCTACTCACAGGCCGGTGCTGGGTTCACCTCACGCCAGACAAGGGACACCTGGACAGGGAGTCCTCTGGGCTAAACTTCGGCAGGGTAGTGGAATAGTTGAAATTTACAATTTTAAATACAGTGAGGGAAAAAAGTATTTGATCCCCTGCTGATTTTGTACATTTGCCCACTGACAAAAGAAATTATCAGTCTATAATTTTAATGGTAGGTTTATTTGAACAGTGAGAGACAGAATAACAAAAAAATCCAGAAAAACGCATGTCAAAAATGTTATAAATTGATTTGCATTTTAATGAGGGAAATAAGTATTTGACCCCTCTGCAAAACATGACTTAGTACTTGGTGGCGAAACCCTTGTTGGCAATCACAGAGGTCAGACGTTTCTTGTAGTTGGCCACCAGGTTTGCACACATCTCAGGAGGGATTTTGTCCCACTCTTCTTTGCAGATCTTCTCCAAGTCATTCAGGTTTCGAGGCTGACGTTTGGCAACTCGAACCTTCAGCTCCCTCCACAGATTTTCTATGGGATTAAGGTCTGGAGACTGGCTAGGCCACTCCAGGACCTTAATGTGCTTCTTTTTGAGCAAGTCCTTTTTGCCTTGGCCGTGTGTTTTGGGTCATTGTCATGCTGGAATACCCATCCACGACCCATTTTCAATGCCCTGGCTGAGGGAAGGAGGTTCTCACCCAAGATTTGACGGTACATGGCCCCGTCCATCGTCCCTTTGATGCGGTGAAGTTGTCCTGTCCCCTTAGCAGAAAAACACCCCCAAAGCATAATGTTTCCACCTCCATGTTTGACGGTGGGGATGGTGTCCTTGGGGTCATAGGCAACATTCCTCCAAACACGGCGAGTTGAGTTGATGCCAAAGAGCTCCATTTTGGTCTCATCTGACCACAACACTTTCACCCAGTTGTCCTCTGAATCATTCAGATATTCATTGGCAAACTTCAGACGGGCATGTTTATGTGCTTTTTTGAGCAGGGGGACCTTGCGGGCGCTGCAGAATTTCAGTCTTTCATGGCGTAGTGTGTTACCAATTGTTTTCTTGGTGACTATGGTCCCAGCTGCCTTGAGATCATTGACAAGATCCTCCTGTGTAGTTCTGGGCTGATTCCTCATCGTTCTCATGATCATTGCAACTCCACGAGGTGAGATCTTGCATGGAGCCCCAAACCGAGGGAGATTGACAGTTCTTTAGTGTTTCTTCCATTTGCGAATAATCGCACCAACTGTTGTCACCTTCTCACCAAGCTGCTTGGCAATGGTCTTGTAGCCCATTCCAGCCTTGTGTAGGTCTACAATGTTGTCCCTGACATGCTTGGAGAGCTGTTTGGTCTTGGCCATGGTGGAGAGTTTGGAATCTGATTGATTGCTTCTGTGGACAGGTGTCTTTTATACAGGTAACGAGCTGAGATTAGGAGCACACTCTTAGAAGGTTCGAGTTGCCACTCTTAGAGTGCTCCTAATCTCAGCTTGTTACCTGTATAAAAGACACATGGGAGCCAGAAATCTTTCTGATTAGGAGGGGGTCAAATACTTATTTCCCTCATTAAAATGCAAATCAATTTATAACATCTTTGACATGCGTTTTTCTGGATTTTGTTGTTGTTATCCTGTCTCTCACTGTTCAAATAAACCTACCATTAAAATTATAGACTGATAATTTCTTTGTCAGTGGGAAAACGTCCAAAATCAGCAGGGGATCAAATACTTTTTTCCCTCACTGTATTGTGGGTTCACTCTCCAACACACCAGTGTGATAAACTAGTCATGAATTGGCATGTTTTGTTTCTGTGACAAACCTTTCTAATTGGCTATGGCGAGTTTAACGACACGTTTATATTTATGAGATCCAACCTTAAAAACCTCATGGATTATATTGGTCGCGAAATCCTGCTAGTACGTGTTCAACTGAGATTGGATGTTGAGGCACTTTGAGTTGTTGAGGCTTTTAAGCAAGCACCACTGAACATGCGCCTCCTTAAATCCTTATGTATGACTATCTTGAGTCGTTGGGCCTCTGAGTCTGAGTCTCTACGTGAGTTTGTCTTCATGAACCTGTGGATCTGTGAGTCGATAACCCTGTGCGAGTTTCTGGGTTTTTATGTGTGTGGATCTGTGCAAGTTTATGGCTCTTGCCCAGTCTGCGTCTCGATGTGAGTCTAGGTTGCTGTGCGAGTGGCTGTCTGTCAGTGTATGGCTCTCTTACTGAGTCTGTGTGTGTCTTTGGGCTTCTACGTTAGTTTGTGGCTATCTTTGTGAGTTTATGGCTCGTTCTCAGTCTGTGTGTCTCTGTGAGTCTGGGTGTCTTTTGTGAGTTTGTGTTTCTCTGCAAGTCTTTAGATTTATGTTCTTCCAAACAACTATGTTTGGCACCTGGACTATCAGTAGAAGAATCCGTATCCCCGTGTGTGTGTGTGCACACAGCGCTGCATGCTGGCCTCCAGCCAGGAGCATTTGCAGCTGCTGGACCTGCTGCAGCGCATGCTGGAGTACGAGCCGTCCCGACGCATCACGCTCGCACAGGCGCTGCGCCACCCTTTCTTCAGCGGCATGGATCCCTACTTCCCTCCCTCCGCGTGCGATCTGAGCGCTGGAGTCGGCGCTCGCGACCTCAGCCGGTGACTGAGCCGTGCTCGTTAGCGTCGCCCAACAATGCCGCGCGCCGGCGCCTCCCGTGCCTGTCCTTCAGCCGGCGGTGCGCTCGCGCATTTGTCTTTGCCACTGGCGCGATACGGCCGACGCCCGTTGTGGCAGCTTTGCCTGCCCCGAAGCTCACTTGGCTCTCCCTGAAGCTTGCTTGACTTTCTGCAGGAACTGGGGGGGCCACTTGCGAGAAATGCCGCAGCTGCTACTGCTGTGGCCAGTAGGGGGCCGTTGTTGCAGAACTAAGACTCGCGAGGAGTGGTGAAGCCGTGATGAGGAAGACGTGTGCCAAAGCAATGGAGGCTGGAGTGCTGGCCGGGAATTCTGAAGACTGCCGTTAAAACAATTGCTCAGCACCAAGTCACGTCGTTTGTATTGCGGAGTTGATTGGGGCTTTGTTTTGGCGGTTCTGGTTCGTACAAAAAAAGGTCTCCCCAAAAAATAATTTTGGATAAATCAGAAGTGTTTTTAACGATCCGAAGGGGGCTTGGTCCACATAGCGTGAGGGGAGGCTCATATTTTCTCGATGTAAAACTCTCATCTCAAGTTGAGGTCGTATCACTCGTGGAAAGTTTGAATGTTTTGTTGATGAAAACAAGTGGAAGGTAATGTACATAAGTATGCCTTGGAGGTTGGTGTGTTTTTTTAAGTGTGTGGTGTCGGTGCCTGGTGGCATGCATGCGTGTGTGCGTTGTGAATAAGAGCTGAGAATCTGCATCACCTCCTCGGTAGAGGCCCTGTGATGCATGCAGTTCAGTGGCTGAGAGGCTTCTCATTGCGCTGGCATGGAAGTTAAATGGGTATCAAGTGTTACGCGCAGAGCCACGGCCACTGCCTCGCACGGGAATCCCCTTATCCCTCCAACCTACCTCCACCATTTAATTGGCAAGAGAGCGTGGGGAAGTTCCCATACCTAGGCAGTGTTGTTATGACGAGCCCTGGTTTGGCAGTGGAGGTTCGTGTTGCATCTTTCATTAGCTGTGTAACACTTTGGGCCTGGTTAATTGCTAAATTCCAAGCTGCAGGTTTTCTTTGCCAGTTTTTCCCGCTCTTTATGTGGAGGAGGCTTGTGAAGAACACTACAGCAGTAGTACTACAACAGTTCGAGGCAATCGCCCTCCGATAACGGGCTGAGGAGCGACGCTCGTTAAAACGAGTGGTGTGTTTGGTGGACAAAACGTAAATTGGCACAGTGGGGAGCACAGGTGGTGCATCTGCCAGTCATCTCGGTCAACCTATAAACACCTGGGTCTATCCTCACTTGGCAGTAGCAAGAGCCTTGCACACTCCACATGGCCTCAAAGTCCACTTAGCCTGGCATGGGTGCCGTGGTGATGTTACAACCATCTATTGGTGAATGGCTGCTGCCACAATCGCTTAACGTAGTGAAGTTCTCTGAAATGCCCCCGGCTTGAAGGGTGGGGGTGATTATGAGTTGAGTAGTCACTATGAATCTACGTGGAGTGGCTATGCCGTTTCATGCCTGTGTGCATTCGTGCAGGTGCGTGAGGCTTATGTATGGTTGGTTGTGGCTGTGCGAGAGACGGCCATTATATTGCCTCTCGCCACAGCCAAACCTGAGAATCGGATACACCGGATGTTTGGCAAGTGTCGGATATCAATATATTTGTATACAGTTTTTAGGAAACGGTGTAAATAAGTTTTGGAAATAAAGGCGGCTCTGTTTACACGAAGGCGCTGGGCTTATCCTCGGGGTTTTCCAAGAAAGGTAACATGGAAATGGTCATTCTGAGTGAGTGGTCCCCAGTAAAGTGGTAATTCCACCCTGCCCTGCCCATTCCTTCAGGGCTTTCCACTCGCCCAACACTAACCCTCTGGCTATTCGGTTGTTAACCTTGGGGTGAATCTAGCGGCCACTAGTGGCCGCAGAAGTTGCACAGCAAACCCATATGCATCACCGATCATTCCACTGCCGTGTGCAAGCCTTCCCACTACGTGCGGGTCGTGGGGTTTGTTTGACCATACTTCGCTACGCTGGGCAGTGCGTGTTTGGTGCAGGCGGGCAGCGTAGACGTGGGAGCGTCGATCTTGCTGCAATTGATGTTACGGCACTGCCCTCTACTGGCCACTAGCCCTGCAGCAGCCTCACACTTACACAAGCGATCCAATTCACATGGGGTCAGTTTACACGACTACAACAAGCAGCCGCCCATTCGACGCTCCGTAGCGGTGACGTCGGCACTGCGTTTGTGCCAGGTTAGGTGCACTTTGAGGGCCGTCTGCGTGCAGTATGGAAAGCTCGCTGCTGGCAGGAGGTAACGAGACGGGCCCAGGTGCTGAGGTGACCGGCAGGGAGTGCATGGACCCGTGTCACTGCACATAGGTACACGGACGTTGTACACACTCGGGAAGTTAAGTTCATTTTCCAAGTAAAGGCCATTGAGCTAATAATCTCCTTTTCAAGGGGGGCGATTCGGCCGGCATACAACATCAAAGCATGTCACTATTACACTCGGGCTGTTAACATCGGGCATTATGTGTTGTCGGTAACTGCATGGAACAATCTGTTCCTGGCTTGCCACACATCTCTAGCAATGACCACGACAGCTTTACCTTGTTTTGGTTAGCTGTCGTGTGGTGGGTAGCACACTAGATTCGTAATCCAGAGGTCGTTGATTAAAATTAATCTTCCGGAGCGGCATTTGAAACCGAGGTGACTCCCCCCGTGACCCCCCTCCACCTCTCTTCGCCCAGCTGCATAAACGGGGTCACACCACAGTCGATCGCAAGCTCGCGTTCGGTGCGATGAATTCTGGATACGCCCACCTCTTACGAGACGCCTGGGAGAGTAGACCCAATACACTCTTAAGAGCTCCCCTCTCGTGGTGGCCTTTCTGCCAGCAGTGGTGTAAACGTGCACTTGCAGGACTGCTCTTTTACAGTCTAGCTAAGAACGAGGGCAATTGCACCACAGCATCACGCCCGGCCGCCTTTGTCTCCCTAGTAAGCGGTTTACACAATGTACCAGGTACTCGTTTTGAGGCTGAGTTTACCTAGAGGAGACCCCGGGCCGCTTCAGATCATTGTCGCTCATGTTGGCAAGGTTCGTAGTGCATTGGGTTAATCGCTACCCTACCGCTATCGTTTTACAACCCAAGTAACCCCACACAGCTGCAGACCCGCGTGACCGGCATCACGATCTGGAGTCCAGCCATAGTGGTTGCGTTCTCTGGGCTGATGCTCGTGAGACAAGGCCCCAAGGAAGTATTTATCTGGTATAGGCCAATCAATTTCAATGACAATGCATATATCAGAGCATGATTGCATGTTCACAAGTATATGTAGTTAATTCAGACGTAATTCCTTGCATAAAGTTTCTATTTGGTGTTTGAACATCTTAACACCTGTTTTATTACCAGAAACGGTGAAACCGATTCTTATTTTTTCATACTTTGATACTGGCAAAAGGTCCCATTTTGCGGCTGCGCCCTCCTCACGACCGCCCTGTAAGTGGCGTGATAACGCCACACAACAGGTCCCTCCGCATAGCCTGCAACAGGCTGTTGGGGCAAGGTCTGTTCGCGAACACTCGACACGCAACGACATTCACATTATGGTGAGCATGCTCTTTCCCCTGCTGGATGAGAGCCACAGTAGCAGCTGCTGAAGAAAAGACACCCATTCAGCAGCTGTCTTGGTTAATCCGCTGATGGATGATGGCCACTATCAAGTCAATGACAATAACACGTAAAATAGTACGGGTAATACTACAGTCCCATATTTAACTGATTCTTATCCATAGGAAAACCACGACTCTGCTTTGCACAAACATTTTTGCTTGAGCTATCGAGGACTGGCTGCATCTTTAACCTGGGTGAGGAGGCACCGAAGCGTGGTTTTCTTTTCTGTGCCAAAGCTGCTCTACCCGGTGCACATAAGACTGAAATAGGCATTCTGCTGCTGCTGTCGTTCCTGGGCTGGGGCGCACGGCTCCTACCCCACTGCATTGGACATCATTCAGAGGACTGAAGCAGTCGGGGTGATTCACGATCCAGCACTGACGTATTCACTCCAAATAAAGATTCCCTGTATAGCCCTAACAGACTTGCAGCAAGTGCGAGCACCTATGAAGGTGCTGCATCGCACACGAGGGGGTGGGTGGCCAGCACCACACCCGGCCGCCTTTGTCTCCTGATTGGCGATGGTTACACACCGCACCACGTACTCATTTGAGGCTAAGTCAGCCTAGGGGACGCCCAGGATCGGTTCAGATAATCGTCGCTGGTGTTGGCCGTGAGCGGGAATCGAACTTGTGTTACTGGACTCGTCGGACAGCGTGCCAACCGCTCCACTACCGCTCCACTACCGCTCCCCAGTCACTCGCTCACCGGCAGTCAATTGCCTGCTGATCACCATTCTGTCCATGCTACCATGGTCACTGTCCCCGTGAACTTTACTTGTTGATTCATCCTCTAGCGTTGACTCGTTCCACCATACACTTTAGTTTCATCCACACTGCTTAACCACCACACTGCAGGTCACAACATTGGCCAGTCAGTCGCCCACTCATCCAGCACTCACTCGCCACACTGCACGTCACCTCACCCCTCTCTCTGCATCTTCCCTCGCACTGTTGCAATTCAATAATTAGGGATACATCCTTAGCTATTACAGCTTTAACGGTGCTGTTTGTTGCTGGCTGCTCAAGTTGTGGTTGTGTGCTCAGCAGCTGTGTAAACCGGAAAAGACCAATGCGTGTGGCATGCGGCTAGTACAAAATGTTCGGAATGGCGTGTATTTGTCACAAGGGGTGTGTGTGTGCGCGCATTGTGTGTGAATGTTACTAGGCGTGTGTGCGCGTAGTTAGGATTTTGAGTGAAGGAATGTGTGCGGCTGTTATCTAATCCAGAGTGGTGGCGCAATGTTTAGCACACCGCATTACGAATCCAGCCTCCCAATTTAGATTCCCACCCACGGCCCACATCAAAGCGAGTTTTATCTGCACCGATCCTTGAGCCTATATTGTATGCAAGTAGGTGAGTATGTGTTCGCATGTATAGGTCAACTCAGCCTCAAATTAGTACCTGTTGCTATGTGTAAACATCGCCACTCAGGAGACAAATGCGGCTAGGCGTGGTGCTTGCCCGGCCAGCACCACCACCATGATGCTGGTAATGGGAGGAGGGAAATAAACAGTGCAGCAGTGCGAGGGAAAATGCCGAGACAGGTGAGGTCACCTGCAGTGCCGTGATTGGGTGGGTGAATGAGTGTTTGTCGGTGAGTGAGTGCGTTTGTGACCTGTGACTTGTGTTCTTCACAACGACGCGAATGATGATTTGTGCCAGTATGTGCGGTGGTTCAATACAGTACGGTGGATGGGACTAAACAGTCGGTGCCTCGTATACCGAATCCTCGGCACGGGTGGATGATTCAATGAGTGAGTGGATGAGCGTGTGTAATTGCTCCGGGCGTGTTCAGTTGTATTTGAAAGCCACGGGAAGAGGACTGGAGTCACAGAGGGGGTAAACCTGATCTGAGGCACGCGCGTCCTACGATGACAAAAGCGATGTTGCTGCTGGTGGGGGTGACGATGCGCATTCCAGGCTATTAAGTCACATTCGCTGTGGAGTAAGGGTCGTCGAGTTGTAAGTTTATTTGTACGACCCCCAGGTAAGGACCCCACGTGAAGTTGGCTGACGTAAACGGAACTGCAACGCGCACATCGCCATACATGGCAAGGAACGCAGTTAATGGCTTCACACGGTGACGGCAATGGCCCAGAAATATCCGGAAGCTACGACTGCTTGCACAACCAACAGACGACAGAACAAACACGCCGACTATTCTATCTCTATCCCGCGATATAGGAAAATAAAAGTATCTAATTGACAGATCCCATTAGCTACACGGCCTTCTGGGAGCGTGGAATATATAATCAGCGTTCGTTCAACAAGCAAACTTTTGGATGGGTTTCAACATCGCCTTATAGTATCCACAGCGACGCTAATGATTGCGTCGAGTTGTGTATTACGCACGGTTTTTACATGGAACTAGGAATCACGTCTAACAGAGAGCGTTCGATGCCCTGAGCATTTCATGAGCATCGGTTCAAGCGAGTCGTGCTCTGCTGACGAGACACCGAATGTCGAAACCAGTAAAGTTTTCTTGCGGGGTATTCCGTTTCCGTTCAAATAACCAGAAAGTAAAACAACTACTTTTAGTCTAGCTGAATTGGAAGCAAAATATTGGCGCGTTTTACCACAGCAAGCCGAGCCGAGTCTCAAGACTCTCTCTCTCGGGAGGGTCCTGCCAAGTTTCCGTAATCGGGGACGGGGGGCGATGTTGTTGCTGCTGGAGCTGCTGTGTTATTTTAATTGGCAGATCATTTGTCGGAATTGAGAGATGTTCGGCCAGTCGTACCAGGTTCACGGTGTGGGATTTACTCAATGTCACAATGTGCCCCTCCCTCTCCAAAGGATGGAAAGGGTGAGAACATCGTAAACGTAGCGTTTTGAAAAAAACATCTTCCAGCTTTTTAAATATTTAGGTACACATTTTCTCAGACTTAGGTAAAAAAAGGAAGTAAAAAAATACCCCGCTTCTAAAACAATTATGAATGGAGAGAGCAAAGTCGGATTTTTTTTATTTCATGCGATACCTGGAAACCGCGTTCTTCAAAACCTTCAGATACAAAACATCCCCGAAGCCTGCCCTTCAACGACATCAAGCGCTTTCCGATGCGATGCGAGTCAACTCGACCCCCCTCGTATAGAGTCTCGGCATCCACTCCACCACCACCCGCCCGCTCGCGCTACGAACTCCCCGCCGGCCTGGCACAGTTGCCTAGGTACGGTGCGAAAGACGTTCAACATATACTACATACTGTACACGTCCAAATTAATTTGCCTCCCGCATTTTTTTGTTGTTGGGGGGAGTTAGAGGAGGTGCGGTGGGAAACTCGGAAATGTAGAAATTTGAAACCACGATTTTCTTTAGGCTTCAGAACCTCCGCCGGGCAACTTCGTTATATCCTAAGCACAGGCGTAAAGCACACGCGCCACCCCGGTTTATATATACTGTTACTATACATTATTTGCGGGCGAGGTCAATTAAGGTTTTGACGTGCGCTCACTTGCGGCGTAGAACTCTCAAATATTCTCCTCGTGCTAAAAATGTCAGCTCTCGAGCCCCCCCCCCCGCGCCCCCATGTAGAAAATATACATTGTCCTGAGTCGCTCTTTAAACGTATAAGCAGTACTGATGTAATGTTTCGAAGGTTCAAAAAATATATACATCTCAGTGAGTCTCAAGACTCGTCACGTTTGGTCAGATCGGACGTTCGTGAAACGCAGTGGCCTGGTTTCCTGTTGGGAGGAACCCAGGAGTGAAACTGGGAAATCCCAGTGCTCACAAGCTGCATCACACCAACAGCACCCGCCTATTTCTTATCTCTGGGCATTTACTTTATGTACTTTCTCCCTGTGCCACTGGGCCATTCGCGTGTCGGAAATGTGCCCAGCGCCAAGGTTTTCTTGCGAAGAAGCAGGCGGGGCACAGACCCCGTCCGAACTTTTCAGCTTCCTCTGCCCCAAGCAGCAGTCTCGGCAGGGGCGTGGTGGGTGAGAGGTTGGGGTTTTGTGGAGCGATATATACGCAATCACTCGCAGTCCTGCACACACACACACAGAGTCAGCGCTAACCTTCACACACCGCCACGCACGCAGGGACGCGGAGTGACAGCCGTACAGAGATACCGACAGAGAACACGGGGAGACAGCCATACATACACACACACTCTCAAACGCACAGGGACACACGGACACAGCCGTATAGCAGGCGCACTCGCGCAACACAGCCCGCAATGTGTTGGATGTGCCGCCCGGAGCTCAAGGTCGACTCTTCCACGGGACTTACGGACGACTCGAGCATGGAACCTGTGGGCGACTCGCTCACTGAGCTAACGCAGAACGACGCGATCGGGGCGATGGACAAAGGGTCGCGGACCCTGGAAGTCGACTTGAGTGGAGACCTGGAGGTCGACTCGATACCCCCGCAGGTGGTCGCGGACCCCTCCTCTGGCGCGGGGCCCCCCTCCCGGGCCCGGCCTCTCCCCTCACCCCCGCTGGTGCTGCAGACCCCCGCTCTGGTGAGACACTTGCTGCTGTGGACGATGGAGCCCAGCGGGGGCCACCGGGCGCCGAGCGCCGCGGCCGAGGCGCTGGAGGCGGCCGCGCTCGAGATGACGTCTCGCTTCGGGGCGACGCTCGCACAGATGGCGGTGGCCATGGAGGCGGCAGAGGGCCCCGTGGGGTCCACGGGCGACGTGGAGCGCACGCTGCGCGCCGTGGCCGAGAGGATGTTCGAGGACCGCGTGACCAACTGGGGCCGCATCGTGAGTGTCGTGGTGTTCGCGGGCTTCGTGGCGCGGCGCGCGACCCTCGTCGGGGTCGCGGTGGACGCCGAGGCACTCGCCGAGGCCGTGTCCCGATACCTGCTGGAGACTCACGGCGCGTGGATGAGCAAGCACGGAGGATGGGTGAGTGGAGTAGAAGAGGGATGGATGGCGGACCGATTGGGTTGGAGGGGAGGTGCCCAGAGGGGGACGCGAGCAGAAATGGGCCACGTGCCCCGGGCCTCACGACGACTGGGTTAGAAATGGGATCGCGGCTTCGGGTTTTGTTCGACTTTAGTTGGGGGTTAGGGGTCATGGTTGCGATTGCGCACGCACCATCTCGGCATTCACAGCCCCGTTTGACAATCAGCTGCTTTGGTCGATGACTCCAAAGTAGCCTCGGATCGCCATCGAAATCATTCCGTGCTTGTACTGTACCGCCGTTCAAACTATGTGAAGCGTCTTCAGCGAAAGACGCCCGAAACATATCAAATAAGATGACATGTGGGGACGTGGAATTTCCATCACCGGTGGCGGTACACGGATGAGCACCAATGCCTCATTCTGTGTTTGTCGATACATTTCTGGACGAGGGCCTCCCGACACCGTGCGAGTCGTGGGGTGGGAGGTGTTGACCATACTTCCCCTCCGCCGGTGAGTGCGCGGTAGGTGAAGGAAGAAGGCCACGCCGGTGTGGTCGCAGTCGTGGTTGAAGCCACCGGGTTTAGTGCATGGACGGGTCCAGTCATGAGGTTTGGGCCATGGATGGGTCCGGTCATGAGGTTCGGGGTTTGGGGGGGGCTCCAGGTTGGGAATTGAGTGTCCGTTTTGGTTCAGAGGCTGGGACCCGACGTTATTCGAGGCGTCGTCGCTGGTGATGTCGGGGGAGGGAGCGGGGGGTGAGAGAAAATGAAACTCGCGAGAGGGCAGCGTTTCTCGTTTCGCTGAACGCGGTCGAGGGGGGAAATTCCTCGGCGTGGGCCGCTGGGGGGGGCGAGTTTCGAGGATGGCAGCCAGAGGCGGCACCGCGCTCTTTGGAACCTTGTCCCCTGCTGAGCGCGGTAACGCTTCACCCCCATTATTCATTCTGTTTACTTGGGCACACCCGCTGTCACTTTGACCTCTGCTGAGTACAGTACGCTGCGACCTCCAATTGGATAGTCTCGTTTATGTTGTCCGCGATCCCGATACGTATGGCCTCGTCAAATGTACAGTGTCAGAGGATTAGCAAAGCGTTTACACATCAGCATCGTCGTCTTCGCCACGACGTTGACTCACGTCGTTCACCTGCTGTAGTGCTGTGAACAGTCGCGTGGCGAGCGCGCATTGCCTGGCCTAGTGGCCGTGACCCCGATCGTTTCCGAGTGGTCGCTTTGATGACGGCGTCCTTCGTCTCGTGGTGAGATGAGCGACAAAGCGCCTCTCGCGTCGTTGCCATCGGAGGTTCGCGGTTCGAATCCAATGGCCGCCCCGATTATTACTGCGGAGGAGGCTTGTGAAGGACACTCCTGGCCAGTTGGAGGCAGTCGTCCTCCAACAACAGCGGAGGATAGAGGAGCGACGCTCACAACAACGAGCGGAGCGACGCTAAAATAGAGAATCAGAATATTTATACTGCAGTAATCCGATGAGCTGTGAAGCTCTTTTTCACAGATGCAGCTTGGTGGCACAGCGGGGAGCACAGGTGGTGCATCTGTCAGTCATCTCAGTCAGTCAACCCATGGCAAATGGGTCTGTTCCGTGACCTACCAGCGCTGTGGTGACATCACCACCACTTCGTGGCCAATGACGATTGTTATTATTAAGCATATAGCAATACTATTTGCCGTCTGCTTCAAAGTAGACGTGAAAGATCCCCTGACGTTATTTGCAAGAGTACAGCCCATTGTGTGGCCATTCGCAAAATTACTCCGTTGCATGTATGTTGAACTTCTCTCGCACCTTACGTAGCCAACCATGCTACTTCCGGTTGTACAGCACAACCATCGCCTCCTACCTGGCTGACTCACGCCGCCGGTCGCCCTTGCAAATGAGACCCTTCATGATCGCTTGAGGCCTAAAACCTGTTTCCACAAAGTGAACCTGACAACTCGTTAAACGTCTCGATTTGGTATGGTGATGACGACAATGACGATGATGATCCACCTGGTGTCTGTCTGCAGGAAGGTTGCGCCAGCCAACTCCGAGGAGCCAGCCCGGAGGACGCCCTGTGGAGCGGCCTGCTGAAGGTGGTGGGCATCGGGTTCGGCATCGGGGTCCTCCTCACCACCTGGAGGGTCCTGCGGGGGATCTGAGGGCGCAGTTGGTGGGTGGGCGAGAAGCCATCGCCTACGTTTGAAGGACTGCGTGAACGCGCTCGAAGTCAATGAACGTGTTACGCTCTCGCCCTCTTGCAACTTTGATGCGGTGTCGTTTGCGTGCCGACCGCCGGATGCGTCGGGCCTTTGGGCCTGCGTCTCAGCAACTGTGCAACCCCCCCCGAGGGACTGCACGCAGGGGCTCCCCGTGTCGCCCGTCTCCACAGCTCTCCGGAAGGAACGGCGGGAGAGAAGAGCGTGAAGTCACACGGATTCAATCCCTGCTCAGCCACTCGATACCCTGCTGTGGGTATAGCCAAGGGGACGCCCCCCTCCCCCAAAGGCGGCTGTCTCTACCTCGCCCAGCACATGCGGCATTCGTGTGCTGGCAGCGGACGATGAACATACAGACGACTGGTTTGGGGATGCGAAGATCAGGAGCCCGTGGCCTCTGAAGTTTGCACGCAGGTTTAGGCACCTGTTGTGTGCACGTGTGATGCTCCAGCACTTTGGAGGTGGTGGTTGGTGGCACGCTTCGAGATCTGTGAAACGCCCAAACCCTGCTGGACTGCCAGGTGGTGGCCAAGAGACGGAAGCACAGGAAGTGGAATTAAGGAATCGATCTGCACGGAGCCTTGAGCGTCACCCCTTCGTCGACAGTGGCGCGGTGCTGGGTTTTCTCAGGGGTCTCCCATGCGCAGCCAAACGCTCACCTCTCATGGAATGTATGGCCACGCGTCCCAATGTATAAGCACCCTCTGACAATGTGGGTTCCCGAATCAGAGACGACTCGTTAGAAACGTCGTTGTGCACTACCATGCATTTGTGCACAGAGATCGCCAGAGTCGTTTTATCCTACGCGCGCGATGATTGGTTTGTGTTGTGGCCACTATATTTATTTATTTATTTGTTTGCCCGGCCAGACGAACCAGCTGTGGAGCTGTGGCTCACGGCAAGCGGAAGGTCACGAGCTCAAATCTCATCGTCAGCACCCTCCGGGGATCGATAAAACGAGAACCACTTTGTGGGGAAGATCAACAGTGGTTGTCTTATGGATAGACTCGCCACCGCCATAGGAATGTGGAATTCCAACCACTGGCTCTGCGTGGCTGTGAACTGGAAATTCGAGCACCCAACGCCTCAATGCTAACTTGATCACGAAGTCACTTCTACTTTTTAATTTAACCGTTGTAAATCTAAGCACAATATCGCGCGTGGTACACACGGCTATGGCGATGCCAGTGTGCGTGTGTGCGAGTGAGTGAGCGAGTCAGGTGTAAACTTTTTTTATTCCCCGCCGATTGACTGTGCACTTTATCCTCATTTTTTATATATTTGTTTCACACCTTAACCCAATGCGCTTCAAGCCGATTGTGAAATTGTAAATTGAGTTTATCGTGGCTCTGTGTGTTTGTCGTGACCGAGAAGGTTTCTCTCCCCAGACGCGATTTGTCCTAGCCGTGTTACCCGATGTTTGACTACGTTATGAAAATGCGGTAATTCCAAACTTTCAAACAAATACAGGAATTGGAAAGAGAGCTTCAGAAAGTGATCGAATCTCTGATTATTGCCGCGGGGAAAACATTTGGTCACGTATATTTCGTTTCCTCCGAGATTAAATGTCAAATGTAGTAAATAGGTCATCATCGTTACCGTGGGCCCCCGAGTCCGAGAGTGAGCTCTGGACTCGACTCGGTAGGATGAGAGTGGCCCAAGTCAGCGCTCGGATAAGTGCAAGTTCTCATCTCGACGCTGTGTGCTGAGAGTGTCGACCACCACAGTGGTGAGATGTTAACTCACTTGCCTGATATGCAGGTCGTGGGTTCGATCCCGACCTTGATGCCTGCTGTATATTTGGAGTTCGCATATTTTCTCTTCCCGTGGTCGTGTGTATTTTTCTCCTGCTCCTCCGGTTTTTCCCTCCACATTTAGAATCAACATCACGCGTTTCGAGTAGTTGGCCGCTATAAAATTCCACATGATAAGCCACTTCGTTGAGCTATCATTTGTGGCCAGGTCACTTCTTAAAAAAGACCTACGTAGCTTAGTGGGCCTTACCTGGTAAAACAAAATGAATGTTTTAATAGTTTTAATAAAGAAGAGTTCTGTACTGTGCTGGGGCAGGACACTTCACGGCGATCAGGAGCGATAAGCCAGTGGACGAGGCTAGCTCGTGAGCGGCAGCCAAAGGAGGGCGTTCGCCAGCGTGGGCATCCACTGAGCAGCACGGAGCGACGAGATCACGCTGCATGTGGGACCGTGAGAGATGGGAACGTTTTGCGAACGCCTTTGTCCAGCAGTAGATATATCATGATGCTGTCCAGAGTGAATGAAGGATGTCTGTGGTGTTAATTTAATGCGCGTCTGTTGTGAATAAAGCTCGAATATATTCATCGTCTCAGCGTGGTACTCATGGGACCATCGACACAGGGAAAGAATCAACATTGGAGTCCGCGCCGAGTCGGGAGTCAGGTGTGCCACCTGCGCCAGGTGTGTCACCGGCGCCAGGTGTGTCACCGGCGCCAGGTGTTCCAGCCGCAAGTGAGGTGTGAACCGGTGAGGTTCTCACTGACATCACATGATCAGATTACCTAGAATGCATCGCGAACCCCTCAACGAGTCCCCCTGGCGACCACGTGCCAGGGGGACTCGTTGGTTGAACTCCTAATCCGGGCGCCGTATTCCACCAAGAAGCAACAGCAGCACACGTCCCGGGTTCACCGTCTACCTGCTCCTGTACCTGCATTCCACCTCCAGCAGGCCCGTGGGCGTGGCGAGTGCGAGGTTGATCACGTGGCGCTGTAGAGTGAGACATTCTGGTCTGTTCACCTGTCTGTGCTTGGTGATGCTGCTGGTTGTCGCGATGAACCCAATTCTCGTGTGTGTGGATCGCTATCCAAAAACATCATCAGCTATGGTGTTGGTGGTGTTGGTGGTGCCGAAGCGGTAATAAACTTGCACGTGACAACTTTATTAATTGGCCGTGTCAATTAGCTGTTAGCGAGTAGCACCTATGAAGGCCGGCACGGCACACGATGGCGTGGGTGGCGTGGGTGGCCAGCACCACGCCCGGCCGCCTTTGTCTCCCCAGTGACAATATATTTTTTTAACACCGCATCAAGTACTCATTTGAAGCTGAATCAACCTAGGGGAAGCCCAGGACCGTTTCAAATAATCGTCACTGGTGTTGGCCGTGAGCGGGAATCCAACTCGGGTCACTGGGTTAGTAGCGCAGCGCGCTAACCGCTACACTACCGCTCCCCGCACACATCCGTCCCCCAACACAGACACCGGACGCACTGATCCCACAGTGGGTCATTGATCTCACCCACCCACCCCGCGTCTCTGCGTCTGTGAGTGTCATTACATCACTCGCCATCACTCGCCTTGTCATCATCGTCATCGCCCACCGCCCCTCGTGACCACCCACGAAGCGCTCAGCAGGGGGCGACCTCGCACCGCAGCGAGGCGGGGGAACAGAAATCACTCCGCGGACATTGATCAGCCCCCCTCCCTCCTTCCTGTCCCCAATACCAATAACCCCGCCACATTCGCCACCAACTGACGTTGACGTCACCACGGCGCCTGTGCCAGGCCAGGTGCACTTCGAGGCCCATGTAAAGTGTCGAAGGCTCGCCGCTGACAGGAGGGCACGGAAAAGAGCCTGCGTCATGGGTTTGGCTGACTGAGATGACTGGAAGATGCACCAGCTGTACCCTCTACTGTGCCAACTTGCTGAGTTTTATCCGCCCGGCGCTCCGCTCGTTGTTGTGAGCGTCGCTCCTCTGCCCTCCGTTGTTGCTGGAGGGCGACTGGCTCCAACTGCCCAGTAGCAGCATCGTCCTTCACGAGCCTCCTCCATAGAAGTCGATCTTGACGACCACTCACCCCCATACAAACAGCCACCGTGACGTGACCACGCGCTTGTGCCAGGCAAGGTGCACTTTGAGGCCACGTGAAGTGTCAAAGTGTCCCTGGAAAGGAGGTCACGGGACAGACCCACGTGCTACGTACGGCGCAAAAGAAGTTCAACATGGATACATACAGGGGTTGACTGGCTGAGATGACTGGCAGATGCACCACTTGTGCCTCCTTTGACTCTCCGCTGGCGCTCCGCTCGTTGTTGTGAGCGTCGCTCCTCTGCCCTCTGCTGTCGTAAGAGGGTACTGCCTCCAACTGCCCAAGAGCAGCGTCTTTCACAAGCCTCCTCCACAGTCCGACCTTGACACCGTTGATCATAATATGTATTTATACTGGAGGAATCCGATGAGCTATGAACCTCTTTTTCACGGATGTTCAGTAGTTTTCACAGATGTCCAGATGGTACGGGTCATCGGCAAGTCCACTCAGCTCGACGTCCTCCTGTACCACACCAGCCTATCTCTTCTCCAGACGGTACCGCGCCCGTTTAGCCCCCGCTATCCAACCAAACAAAAGCTGCTTGACCATGCAGTGGCTGGGCATGCGGGCTACATGACCCAGCAAACGCACCTCATTCATAATTATGAACGGGTGACGTCACTCCGCATGGAGAACCCCCCTCATTAATAATAATGAGCAGGTGGGGTCCTCCAAATGGACACCCCCCCCCCATAATAATTAGCGGGTGACGTCACTCCACATGGGGGGGCGAGGCGCCTCCTCCCCCCTACCGTCAACTTACAACCCTCACTACAAAGGCAGAACCCTCACGTCACGTGATCTCTGTCACGCTGTTGTTGAGACATCAATGTAAAAAGGACGTCATGATGAACAAGGCATTATAACCTTTAAATGAAATAAGTGTCACCGCGCCCTTACAAATTGCACACGAATGGATGCAATGAATATCTTACGTCGCGCTCTGCTTTTCGCTTGCAAGTTTCAGATTTACTTCAATCCGCTCGTCCTTGGACGGGCTATAGGCTAGTGTATATAGTAGTACTATACTGCCTTCAACTTTTATGAACGACTCGCGATTTGTCGTATTATCTGGCTGTATAGCAAATAAAAAAATACAATTACTTTACTATGCAAGTAAAAAATGTGTGTTTTAATATTTATGTGTTTTTGAAAAAAAAATGTAGGGCCCCCTTTATAACATATGCTACAGGCCCCACACTACCTTAATCCGGCACTGCTCACATTCTCCACCGCGACGCGAGCGAGTGTTGTGCGTCGCGCATTGAGTAACGTTGGGGGGGGGGGGGGTTCTGTCGAACTGGGGACCCGTGCCGACAGAGAGAGGGAGAGAGAGCGACGGAGAGGCTCCTTCCCCCCTGTAAGCAACTGGGAGCGGTTGGGCAGCATTGGCTCAAGCGAACCTGCACTGCTGGGAAGGCGCACCACGAGGTTTTGATGTCGCCCCGACTTCCACCGCCTCTCTGCCCTCCGAGCCTCTGGGTGCAGCTCCGCACTCCTGGCGGGAGACGCCGACTCTGGGTGCGGGGAGCAGAGGAGAGAGCGCCTCGCGGAACCCCTCCGCTGAGCGTGGCCGAGACAGCGAATTCACGGAGTCTAGGGGAGCCATCCAACGCCCCCCCCCCCCCGCTCGCCTCCTGTCCTCGCCTTCCCATGCCCCCCTCCCTCGACTACGCGTGATCCGAGTCGCTTGAA